ATATATATATAGTCCACTTCTTCCCCTCGATTCAGGTTACAATTCTGTACCCCCAACATAACCCGATAACTTGTTAAACCTGACGCAGTAAAAAGATGCCTCCCAACTACGCTTTCCAGTTCAATTTGTACCTTTTGGACTGTCTTCGACCATTCTAACGATTACTCTTTGGCCTTTGTTAGGAATTTTTTATTGCAATTTACTTCTTGGAATGCCCCAGATAGTACTAACTTAAAATGTATATTTTAGAATGAGAACAGTGCTTGTTGACGGGACTGGGCCGAAAGCACGAAATGTACGGTTTTTCAGAGAAATTTCATTCAAACAGTTTTTGTAACCACTAATCGATATGGTAATCGATATGGTTTTGGGCTAGTTACGCAATATGGTGGAGATGCTGTATGCTGGGCATCTTGGTCGAATTCGGTGGAGTACAGATGACGCAGATGGATCTGGGATTCAAACGGAAGCAAAGTTGTTGTCGACCAAGCGAGATCGCCTCCTTTGGAACAGATGCTTGCATTCTGTGGAATCAGCTTCTAACCTACCAAGGCTAGCCGAACTCCTCGGCGAACTGACACCAGGTGTGACCAAGTGCACGACGAAACACTCGTCAAGCTGATCCACAATCCAGACAGGCTAAAAAATAGTGGCTTTCAATGGTGCGCTTCACTTCTTAGTTTAATGTCCGAAACACCAGAACGGAGTAAACAGTAAAATATATTGGTCCTGAAAAACCTGCTGTTTATACGCATTTACTAGACCGCTAGGAGCTTTGCGTAATGTGTGTACTCCATCCGGTACCCCTACGACCTAAGAACAAAGGGATGACGGATTTCTGGACTTTGTTTTCCCACAACGTCTATAATCTCTCCCAACGCAATTTGAATTGTCCTGGGACCATCTTCTTCACCACGGTGTTGGGACCTGGCAGCGGGCTCGCGCGGGAACAAGCGGAAACCCTCAATGCATTAGTGATGATCCAGAGCGGGCTAGTAAGCTTTACTTTCTGTCTTCGTTCACTCCAGAGACTACCATAATTCCGTTTTCTTTGGTTCTCTCCTGATCTAACGGCTGGAATCCAGTTTGTCGAATAGACCACTGTATAAAGGTTTACTTTTAACGAAAAACAACCGATGGGAACGAGTTGACTGAGTTATGCTCTTCCAGCCTACAATCGGTTCACTTGCCTTTTATTGTGCCTGACTATTTTGTACGTCCATTGTAATGGGGAAAGAAAAATGATAGAACACCTAACTTGGGGCTCTGTTAAGGCCGATCGCGTTGTCAGTGCTGAACTAATTCCTCAGTGAAAATGGTGGGACCACAAGTCATTGTAACTTGTACTGGGAGTGGATAGAGCCACCTCAGTTCCCTTGACAAAAACCAAGAAAATAAACTTCAACAGTTCGCCTTGAAACATTGCCTTCTCCAGAGTTTGTTTATTTAAACGTGTATGCCGTAGCCTAGACTACCGAAAGCATGCATTCAGGAAACTGAAACCTCCAGATATTAGCCATGCAAGGCAGTAGCTAGGATGCTCTACTACATTACTTACGTTTCACTGTCTTCAGTTGATGAATGCGGCTCGATATGCGGTGTTTCCGGGAACGTGGCTTCACTAATATCGCTCGCAACTGACTCTGGTCTCCGTGGTATCAAACCCAGAGTGTTACAGTAATTTTCATAGGTAATCACACCCTCCTCATTCGGTTTGAAAAGCTTCATCCATTTAACAACAAAACTCTCCTTATAATTCATTCGATGCATATAGGCACGTAGGTCTTCCATTGTGATTTTCCCGGTGTTATTCCGATCGATTGTATGAAAACCTCTCCGAAACTCGGCCATTTCGGTCTGGTCTCCGTAGCACACCAGTAGCTTGGATAGGAACAGAGGCAACTGTGTTGTCACAGCTGTTCGCACAAGCGTGGCTGTTTGGCAACACGTGATCCAGCGTTGGCGTTCCGTTTCGACCAACCAGATAAACACAAGCTTCAATCAATCGGTAGATGTAGTCCTCTGGTTGGCTCATCCAAAGCATTTTGTGTGGGTGCTTGCTTCAATAACTCGTATGCGTGTCTTTGTGGTTTGCACCTTCCAGAGGACAATTTGACGCATCCAGAGTCTGAGGAAGCCGACGAACAGCCGATGGATAACGAATACACACACTCATTTGCAAGCAATTTGGTTTTCCGACAGACTCACCTGGAACCCAGCTGAATCTCTCGCTTGTGATGTTTCCAGGCGACTGAACGCGCTGTGCCAGGCCGCCTCATGTTTCGGTCGCTACGATATTCGAGATATCGCGATACATGTGATGTGCTACTCATAAGGTCGCTGAAAATCCGTCGACAACCCACGACCGGTTTCGCCTTTCTTGGGGCTCATCAGAGGTAGGCGCAGTCCCCGATTTTTCATCAAACTTATGCTCTGCTTGAAACCAAATTGCACGAAATTAGCGAATATACACTCATTTTTCGAGAGACCCACCTGGAACTTAGCTGAATCTCTCGCTTGTGATGTTTCCACGCAACTGAACATAAGGTTGACCGAAACTCGGGACCGCGTCCACATGATGTGCCCCAAGAACGGCGAAACCGGTCGTGGGCTGTCGACGGATTTTCAGCAATCTTACAAATATAGCTGATGGATACATCTGAGTGCATTTCATCTAATTCAACTATTGGAAACCCTGCACAACGAACGAAGAGGCGTAGAACGGTTCAACTCAACACTGGACAGATGCCAATACACGCGTAGTCGGATGACTGCAGTCAAAATTGTATCGTGAAGTTTTGTTCGGCTATATTTACAATTTGTGAAGAAAGTTTTTTGTGACTTTGTTTTGTTCTGTTAAGGCACATTATTGGTCTAGAGAACGATCGTAGATCATTCTGGTACTTTACTTGCAAGCACCATGACACTCACGTCAAGTTACTACATTTTTTCAAAATGACGGTTTAAAACTTATTTAAAATGTGATTTATTGGGCAGCCATCGTGGGTCACCTTCCTCTGACGGATTTTCACTATTTACTGATTAATTTTTCTAGAAATTTCTGGTGATTTTCTTCAGGACAAACAGCCACCAGAGTAAAATGAAATGAAACCTCAACGACGCTAAGAATTTTGTAGTGTGTCCGTATGCACTATATAGTATGTTCATATATGGTGATATATGTAGCATATGGCACCGCTAGGACCGAATTGTGGGTCGAAAATGAGGTGAGTGAAGCCAGAAGTGATCAGCTGATCTGGATTGTTGCACCACCCAGTAGCGGGATCTTGCAACAGCTTTTGGTCGTTGCAATGGAGCAAACAAGCCTTCCGATCTACTATCTCCCATTAAACTAACGGTTCCTTGGCACACGGAATCAGTTGCCATGGCAAACGTGATATAACCGTTCCAAGTAGGTTCGGCAGTTAAGCTAATGTCCAAACTCGATTGAATGTGGAAATCAAACGTGTGTTGTTTCAGCTCTTTTCTGGTAATTTCTTAAAAACAGAACAAATTTTTTGGCATGGACCAGTTCCAAACTCAGTTAACATACGCATTTCAACAGCAATTGATTTTCCTTAGTCCACCGTAGGTACGGTAGTGAAGCATCGTTGTTGAACACTGATGTCATACTGTCGACGATGATGATGATGATGATGATGATGATGGTGATGATGATGATGATGATGGTGATGATGATGATGATGATGGTGATGATGATGATGATGATGGTGATGATGATGATGATGATGGTGATGATGATGATGATGATGGTGATGATGATGATGATGATGGTGATGATGATGATGATGATGGTGATGATGATGATCTGTAGAAGAGCAAAACGAATAATAGATGGGTCTGCCATTATGCAATCTGGTTTTTGCTAAAATATGTTCCTGTCTGAATTGACGATGGTTAGTCACTTTATGGCTGATCAAATTTTTCTATTCCTTACTGCAAGGTTAAAGGCACTTCTGAGTCATTATCAACAAAGCACTAGAATGGAATTTTATGGAAGTTGCTGGGTTATGCAATTCTTAGACTCGTGAAAGTATTGCAAGAATGACTATAACTCGTCTTGGTTGCTTATCTGAGAAAACGAAGCATCAGAACATCATAGAATGATTCAGCGGCAGCTTTGTCCTTGATTCATGGGAGATTTTCAACCCTTGTTTGTCTCTACGTGAACACCCGGAAAATTCTGTGGTGCAGCATACAGTTTCAAAACCATTCTCTACCTTTTTTCACGTGTGTCCCTTGTGGAAGGTAATGCTACGACATTGAGAACGACGAAGTAATTCAATGAGGATGCCGATTGAGGAAGAGCAAGTTGTCTATGGGTGACAAAATAATCTCACCACTACTGGTGGCCTAGTGTGGCGAAATCAAAAGTCATTTTGAGGTTACTGGAAAGTAATCGTACTGAGCTTAAGACGACAGCCATGTTCATGACAGTAGATCAGGTTTGAGGTTTGGAAAGATGCGAGGTATGAGGACAAACGACTGGTGGTTCTGGAACAAAATGCATCGAGAAACATTAAATATGCTTTGACACTTGGTTACTTAGAGTAGTCGGAATGTGGGGTGGGAGGGCCACTTAGTAATGCAGGTAGGTCTCCACAAAATGTTTTTGAAAATAGAATGGCAGTAAATCCTTTTGGTGGCGTTAGTTGTGTGATTCAAATAAAGTACAATGTCTGAGGTTTGCTGTTTGAGGTTATATTGGACATGTCATGTTGTATCTTCAAAAATTCCTAATTTCGCGCGTCAAGATAGTTGATACTGGCATAAGGTCACCATATTCCCATCCGTTCATCCCCGAAAACACACACACACAAGTACCGCAACAAGCCGTCCCACCACCTCACGCCTATGCGAAACTATATGAACTCAACATCCCCATTGCTTTCATCACCGACATACCCATCCACTCAAATGTCGACATTTACACTACTCATAAACTTTTCAATAGTCCGGTTTCATCCTTCTTGGGGCTCATCGGATAGGCACAGTCAGTCCGGTTTCATCCCTCTTGGGGCTCATCGGATAGGCACAGTCTCGATTTTTCAATCAATCTTATATTTGACTTGAACACAGATTGTACGAAATTCACCGAAACACTCATTTGCGCATTAGAAGATTCCAGCTGAATCTCTCGTTTGGTGCATTCCTTAACTAACTGCGTCGCACACGGGCCGTCTCAGTTAGTAAGAACCCTGTTGGGGTGTAAACGGGTGTATTTTGAGAGTACCATACAACTCAGATGTAATTAGAATCAAAGGTTAACGGATATTCAGGGAACTGCACGCATTTGACGGAGATAAAACTGATTGTCGGCCGTTGGAAGATGTCAGCAAACTTATGAGCACTGTTCCTTGAAATAATATACTGAGATGTTCCTAAAGTTGTACCAAATCAAACAAGAGGTGCCCTCTGTACGGCACATTTTGTTGGCTGAGCTTCCTGAGTGTGAATCAGACTCGAAAATATTTATTACAACACTTGACTGGGTATCATCAATATAGAACACGTGGTACGCAACTATCGCTTTTCACAAAAAAGTAAAACTTAGATGGAAAATAATATGCATTTGAAAAAGAATCGCAAAGGTTCTTGTTAAGCGGAACGCCACACGGATCCCTCTTTACCGCTCGCACTCAGGTGCTGATACGGCCAAGAAGTCCATCCCACGCAAGATAGGCTAAGAATTCGGGACGCTTGCCGGTCCGGTATCAAGCTAAGTCTGATTGGTCGAAAGTCTGGACGAAGAGCCAATCATGACCCAGTATTGGCCGAATGCCGGTTCCCGAGTTAGTTTTGGGCGTTAATATACCTTGTACACCTTTGGTGGTTGTTTTGCTGTGAACACTAGCTTGGGAGGCTCAAATCGAGAACTAAGCTGACAAAAATACCGTTACTAGAGGTTCATTGAAATTTCAGTTGGAAGCAGTTTAACTAGAGACGTTGAAAGGATGACCCAAAAAAGCGGAACATGATTAAAAGCGATACATTTTTAGTCCTCCATCCGAGTGAGATGAAAAGGTCAGTAAACCCGTAAATTGAGTTTGTTGAAGTTGTCCGTTGATCTAGGAGAGAGGAAGTTGTTGGATTTGTCTGAAAGAAAGTTTAATAAAAAACAAATAGCCAAAACGCCGAGACGAACCGAACTACACTGCCTATTCTTCTGTCCCTACAAACGTGTACATAAAAAACGTATGTAGATAGGAGCTGGACATTGGACGATGTCTGCCACCAAAAATAACCTTGTGGATTCAATCAACTTCACTTGGTACAAAATTTTATCCAGATTTTAAATGATTGGAGTTGAGCAGAAGTCCCAATTAGGACGTCTGGCGCCTGAAATCCAATCTGTGTTCGCCAAGGAGGTTTTGAGTGTGAGCCATGAATAATGTAGATGGATCAATTTCCCCTGATATTTGTACCAGTGTTCTCCCATCTGATTCATTTGACAATCAGGCAAACTCTGGCTTCCATGATGTTTCACGATTAGTTTAAAACCGTCCGCCTAGGATTTATTGATTCTATTCTGCCCTACCTAAAACTGAGTTCATGGTGAGTAGCGGCTCCGTAAAAGTCTCCCACATTTTCGATAGACATCTTAGTAAGCGTCGCCCCATATGGCCCTCTCAAATGATTCTTGCTTCCAATTTGTGACTGAAGCTATTCAAAACAAACGGGGTGAAAAAACAAAGTTTATCTAAACCAGTGAACACTGACTAACAAAACTATAGACCCCGCAAATTTTGTCCAAGTTTTTTTGCCTTCATGTGTTCTCTTACGGAGGACTCAATTAGCGTCACAACTGTCTGCGGAGGTATGATAAAAGAACCGAGCAATGTAATCATACTTTCCCTTTACGCACGTCAAAA